TCTAGCCAGGGCAAGTATGAAGAGGCTGAAGGCATGCACCGACGAGTCTTGGAAGGATCAGAGAAGGTACTAGGGCCAGAGCATCCATCTACACTCACCAGTGTCAGCAACCTTGGTTCAGTCCTTTCTAGCCAGGGCAAGTATGAAGAGGCTGAAGGCACGCACCGACGAGGCTTAGAAGGATATGAGAGGGTGCTGGGGCCAGAGCATCCATCTACACTCACCAGCGTCAACAACCTTGGCTTGGTCCTTTCCCGCCAGGGCAAGTATGAAGAGGCAGAAGCCTTGCATCGACGAGCCTTGGAGGGATATAAGAAGGTACTTGGGCCAGAGCATCCAGACACACTTACTAGTGGTAGCAATCTTCGCTCGCTCCTCGAACAAAAAGGTCAACCTCTGTAATCAACAGAGAATACAGAACTGGCTATATTAAACACCCAACACAACTTTCCTCAACCAGCTTGTTAATATAGATCTGTAATTATCCTGATACCTTTCACAATTTTATGCATGATAAGTTTGAATGCCCTCTAATTACCAACATTAAAATGTATCTTTTATAAGAACCTAGATCTATAAATTCCAGTCATGTCTATAATTCATCAAACTCCAATCCGACTTGGCTTCATGCCTGTCGCCCTTCGCTCATTTTCTATCTATATCCCAGTGGCCAATGTTAGGGTTACGAAACCTTTTTCATGTAACGAAAAGCTGCTGTTCCTCCCAAAGAATTACGTTAAAAATAGTGTTATAAATATTCATCACTCTATCTTACCTGATCTTGTTGAACCTGTTCATCTTGTACTATATGGTTTTATCATGACAAAACCAAAATTACTAGCTTAAGCACCGGCTCCACACTAGCGTTGCGCCAGTGGGGCTTCTAAATAAATGAGAATTGTTTGAAGCGGAAGCTGATTTCGCTATCGTGTTGTAACTAGTTAATTCATTGAACTGAATTGTTAGTCAGACACTCGGTTCCATAACTAGCCATCGGCACATCATAATCCCGGAATTGGAAGACGGCTCATCGCCCGTGTTCATCTCTCCACGCGGATCACGTCAAACATGATCTTCATTCATCACCTTCACGTGGTTGATTGCAAACGGCGACGCACAGGACGCTGCATTATAATGCACACGTCGCGTGCCTTCTGAGTTGGGACGGGGTCAAGTGGGAAAGCAAGGGTTCTGTCAACGATGTACAGTAGACCAGACGCGAGAAAACTTTTTGTTAATTACGTGGAAGGCCGAAGGCCTTCGGTTCTGATTAAGTCTGTTGGGACGTTTGGGATGGTTTTATCCTTTAAACATATCATAAACCTTGAAGAATGCTAACAATATTATCCTTTAATTCACCATCCCCCCATCTCAATATTGCTAAGAGATGGCGTAAGAAATTTAACGAGCTGTCTTTCAATGTCGTCCTCCAAGTCCCCAAGCATACCATGTAGAAGTCTTCTTCTTTGGCTCTCTGGAAATGGAGCCATAGTTCGTGAATTGGGCCCTCCGTGGTGACAGAAAAGGCGAGGTGTAATATGTTGTCAGGCAACCCTTGGGCAGACCCTGTACTATCTCCAAGAATTTCCTGGTTTTGCTCATCCAAATCTTGGACATCTTTAAGGTCTAAAAGATTTTTGAAGATCTGGAGTGCTGTTGAGCCACCTACTGCAGCTTGGTTTTGTGCCTGGTATAAGTTCCCGCCAGTTGCACCGGCCTTTGCTTCGACTATCAGAAAGGGAAACCGAAGACCCAAAGAAGTGATATGGGGGTCACTGATTAGGCTGGAGATATCTTGCAAGTCAAATAGAAAGCTTCGTGCATCACCACGACCCTTCTTAGGTTCAAGGGCCGTTGCTAGGTTCTCGTCGGACAAACCGACACATATATCTGGCCGGGGATCCTTGAGCTTGAATACAGGAATGGCTGGTTCGACTGCGTGGGAGGAATGTGGAGATGGATATAGGCTGTCAGTAGTTACGTTTCCAGGTAGAACTTGATGTGACTGGTTTCGTTTTCGCGGTATAGTAGGCAGAGGGTTATGCACCGGAGGTTTCAGATCTTCACGCCAGTCTTACGAAGAAGTCAGCATTCCCGAATTTCAAATGACACTATAATGATGACAGCTTACCTCGATTGCGCGCAATTTCGAGCCCAGGGGGCTTCAACTCGTCAATTGCTGTGTATAAAGCTTCCGTCCATTCGGCTTCCCCTGATGGTTTCTTGACGAGTTCCTTAGATTTGCTCCAGAGCTTTTCAGAGATCCTGTATAGATCATTATCATCATTCAATGTATGAAAAATATTATTGTCTGTATAACGACTAATATCCATGGGAATCTCATCATCGACACGGATATTTGCACGTCGGAGAGGTCCGCGACGATATTGTGCATCACTTGGTCTGGATGGGCTGCTGGACCGCGACCGTTGTGAAGAGCGTGTGGACGAAGGAGGAAGTATTGGAATATCTGATAAGCCGCTTATTCTCTGCTCTGGAGCCATATCGAGAAGCGTGAGAAGAGAGACGGGGCGTGTGTTTTGGTCATGCTCCTTGAGAGCGTCAGTCGTAAGGCAAGCAGTCGTAGGACCAGCGGTCGTATGAACGCGCTTCGGAGGTGAACGCATAGGGGAGCAAGAGCGCGACCGCTTCATTTGTGTCGATGCAAACAATGATCTTGGGCTTGAACGCAGGTCAAATGTCAAGTGCTTCTCATTGCGAGCGAAAGAGAGGATGACATGTCAGAAATGCCAAGACAAACAAACCAATGTGACCCACACTACTGTGCCATCCGGAAATCAAGAAGCAGTAGACTTGGATTTTTTGGAGTATCACTGTTAGGCAAGGGCTAATAGAAAGTTCAATACACATTCTAGAGATGATTGAAGTCAATATAAACGTATTGTTGACTCTATGAGTACGATAAGTAACAAATGAGAAAAGGAAAGCTCCAGGTCTAGTGCGGACATGGGCTTTGTACTCTACCCGAGAAGCTATAGTCTTTTCCCAACCCAACCTACTCCGGAGTACAATCATTACAGGAAGCCAGCCGCACTCCATTCAAGAATTTCCCAGGTCTCCCAACTTACTTGAATCTAGTATTATAAAATTTAGGTAGTCAGGCATGAGTGTCAATATTTGTAATGCGCATCCCTGCCCAACTACTTCCCGCCGTTGCCACATGAACTACTGGAGCGTAGATGAACCCAAAACGCAGATCCCCCGCTATTCTAAGACACATGAAGATGATCCACCACACTCTCTCCTCCTTCCTATCTTTATATTATAGATATCTTGAAAGAACTACCATAATGTCATTTCAAATGCGTGAGGATACTGGCCCATCCACGACCGATGATCAACAGCTTGACCTTCCCGTACCTGACACACAGGACAGGGAGGGTCGGGAAACTATTCTTGACCTCATTTCTGGGTGAGAATTGCGAAAGTGAATTGAGATAACACCTGGTCTTATGATGCCTGAGTACTAACGTTGATTAAGCCTGCATCTCAGCTCTGATTATAGTGATTTAAGAATCATTTGCGAGGATAAAATCTTCCCAGCTCATAAACTTGTTGTTTGCTCCAGATCGAAGTATTTCCACAAGGCTTGTTTTGCTGGTTTCAAGGTGAAACCCGATAGACCTGTAACCAACTCCTTAGACCGAGACTGACAAGCTGCCGTGGATATTAGGAAACTAAAGCATCGATTCATCTAGACGAGAAAAGCCCAGTCTTAATTGAGAAGATGCTAGAATTTCTGTACACGGGCAATTACACCCTCGGATGCCGTACGACTAAAGTGGTGAACCCACAGACCGATTACGATGAAGGGCCAAGAAATGATACAGAGAATGCAGGAAAGCCGTTGATAGATTGTCCATCTGGAAAGCGTACCATCGATGGGCATGCGGCAGAAATGACAGCGGACGGATTCTTCGATGGGTCGTCGATGAACGAGAAACAAGCTCCAGTTCACGAACCCCTCGAGGAAGGTCCAATTGAGAAAGGGAATATCGTGGGGCCTGCCGTCGATATATTGGCTGACTGTCATCCATGCTACTTCCATGTGCGCATGTATGGCGAAGCAGATTACTTCATGATCAGTGACCTGAAAGGAAAAGCGAAAGAAAAATTTCTTTCATCTTTCTTAAATTGTTCCGAAAAAGAATCCTTTTCAGAGACAATCGCGGAACTTTATTCAACACGAGCCAACTACCGAGAGCTGAGGAAGTTGGCGGTCGAAGTGATAGTCGACAACTTACCGCTCCTTAGAAAGGGATTCACCCCGGTGATTGATTCAAAACTCATGAAATCGGTTCCTGACTTTGCTATTGATCTATGTATACCAGCAATGGATAAATATGTGAGTGAGCCGCCTAACATGAAACCATATCCATTCCCTTCGGGGTTTGAATACAAAGGGGTTGACTACATGCTTCGTCTACCAAACTAGTCACTATCGACTCCTCGAGAATATGGTGGTACACATCTATGGAGAATGCGGGTAGGAAGTTCTTTGAAGGAATTCATATCAATAGGGTACATCATCTCTTCAGTGCATCTGAATAGTACATGTGAAGATTCGCAAATAATGCCAAGATTCTTATAAAAATGCTTCAAAATCCAAAATCAACTGATAGGTTTGAGGGGAGCCAGGCTGGTTTTGCAGATCACTGTTCCAGTCATTACTTGATACCCTGTCAAATATCCTCTATTGTTATACCTGCATGTCGGAAATGACCCTTGGCGCTCTCCTGTCTTGCACCAACATCATCAACGCACTTCCGAAGGAAGTTATGAAAGCCTTGATCTGGATCCTTCTCATATGTTGGCCATGCTTTCTTGATGTAACACTTCAGCTCGGCAAAAAATTCCTCAATGGGATTAAAATCCGGTGAGTAAGGCGGCAAGTACAGTAGTTTGACTCCTGCATTAGAGCACAACTGTTTGACTCGGTCTGAATGATGGAAAGATGCATTATCCATAACAAGCACAGATTTTGGTTCCGGCCACTTCCCACAGTGCTGTAGGAGCTGTTCAATAAAGGATTCAAAGAGTGCAGCATCTGTTGAACCTTTAAAAATACGAGCCAGCATTATACCATCTTGAGCATATGCTGGTAGTATCTGGTACCGTTGGCCTCGATGAAATTTTGATACTTGGACTGGTGTCACCCCAAGTGGAGACCAGCCTGTCCGTCTACAGCCTATCCGTTTATCACATCCAGACTCATCAACAAAAACCAGGTGGTATGAATTGTACAAAGATAGCTTATGTTGATAGAAATCCCGCAGGTGAGGATTCTGTTCTTTTGCTTTCTGCTGAGCTTTCTTTTTGGTCCATCCTTCCTGAGAAAGAGCTCGTTTAATGCTGGATGGTGATGGCAGTACATTAAATTCGTCCCATAGAAATATAGCCATCTCTTCAACATATAGTCCAGGCTTTTCAGTCAGGTGATCGCATAGTGCATCGAGCATAAGCGGAGTGATGCTTGGTGGCCGACCATCAGGAACCGGGGGGGCTCTTGGGGTACCGAACAACCTCAAGTTCTTGCGTATATGAGTGATCGAACGCTCACTGCATTTCGCGATTTCGGCCATCTGTGTTGTAGTTAACCTTTTTCTGCTACGTATCATATGGACAATGATTTCACGCTGCCAGGACTCAAGGTTTCGTGCCATGTTGTGTTGTGTTGGTAGGTTGATGGTGTCTAGTTTGGATGACACCTCGGATGCAGTTGAAACTATTTTTAAAGCCATGACAATACAATACAGTTTACTCTGAAACGTGAGTGTTATGTATCATACGATTCGAGCTCGAAACAGAACCTCAATACGGAAGTAACCATATACGGACTAGTAGATATTGGCGTTTAGGGTTTGAAAACAACTTTCTATATTCATAGTATGGAAGGCGGTTTCGGGCGTCACTGTACACTAAGGAAGGAGCAGGAGGAGGACGAGGTGAGAATATCGACTCGGCACGGTACATATCAACTACATTCGACTGTGCTGGAACTGGGTGAACCTCGCTGGGCAAAAATGCCTTTAGGCGACCCCCTAGCGGGACGGGCCGAGGCGCGAACCCCTGAAACTGACGAGCCAACGCGACCGCGACCACGAAAATCAGACCGTGTCACCAGACCACCAAACAACTACGCCCGAGAACAAGAACAGGAATCGGAAAGGAACTCCACCCGCCTTCAACTCAAGAAGGGAGAACACGGAAGACCGGAAAACCAAGATGAAGCACCAACAGAAAGTGTGGTCATCCCAGAGGACGAAGGAACGCCGACCGGCCCCGAGGCGGTGGACACGGTCAAACTACTCACGGAGTTGGTAAAATTGAGAAGGGAGATCAGGAAAAGAGATGAACTACACAAAGAGGAGTTAAAGAAAATCAAAACTGAGTTCGCAGAAGCCCTAACCGGGATGCAACGAGAGTTAGCAGAATTACGCAGCGGATTGACATCACCCCAGCCGAGCTTGGAGGCAGGGTCGCAGACCAGCCACGAAGAGATCCTTCAGGAGCTTCACTCCATACGCACCGCGATTACAACACCTATTCCAACCGGGGACAACATCTCGTGGGCGTCAGTCGTGGCCAACGGCACGGGGAGTGCAAGGAACCCGCGGCCACTGACAACAAGAAACAGGAAAAACCAAATAAGGGAACAAAATTGCATCAGAATAAGCACACGGCCAGAGCCCGACAACATTAACAGCGATAAGCCTGACACCTTCGCAAGACGCCTGCCTCCAGACGCAGCCATCAGCCAAATACAGGACGCGCTCGCAAAGTCGGATGCAACAAAGGAAACCCGAATCCTGGGGGTTGGACACACCCGTACAGGATACGTGATCCGCTTCAAGGACCAAGATTCAGTAAAGGCTGCACGATCTGACACGAGCTGGCTGGAGGAACTGGGAAATGGTACCAAAGTGGTCCAACCGCGATTTGGAGTGGTAGTTCACAGGACACCAACGGAGGACTTCCTGCTCCCAGAGAATGAAAAAGAGGGCATTACCAAAATTATGGAAGAAAATGGACTGGCAGCTAAGGGCCATAGGGTACTAGAGATCGCTTGGCTTAGACAAAAGGGCAAATCTCAGAAAGCGCACGGCTCACTAGGCATTTGGCTCGACTCCGCTGAAGCAGCGGACGAGATCATCAACAACGGACTGCTTGTAGGTCATAGATACATCGGGAGCATTGATCGCTATCAAATCAAGAAGAAACGGTGCCACCGGTGTCAACGATTTGGACACCTAGTATCTTCCTGCACGGAGAAACCTCGATGCGGGCATTGTGCTGAGGAACATGAGCGCGCTCGCTGCCCTGCTGGGGTTAAGCCCCGGTGTGTGGACTGCAATGAACCCCACCCGACTGGGGATCGCAGCTGTGAAGCACCGGCCAACGAAACCGCTGCCCAATAATGGATGAAAACCTTCGCCTACTACAGTTGAACATCGTGAAATCAAGGCCGGGAATGGAAGCTCTCATCAACGATCACCAGACGCAAAACCTCGATATACTGATGATCCAAGAACCGTCAGTGACCGTTTACCACACCCATGTTAACCACAGCGCCTGGCGCCTCTACCGACCGACATACGCAGAGGAATCTACGCGGTACAGGAGTCTTCTCTATGTGAACAAAAGAATTTCAACCTCATCACATCAGCAAATCCAGTGTAACCACCCAGACGTGACAGCCGTCAGAATCTGGACACCCGAAACCCAATTCCTTATCTTCTCAGTCTATATTCCCCCTGCACCGTTGTATCACAACCAGATAGAGCCCGAGGGGCAAAGTGCAATCGATGAAATCGAAGCCACGATCCAGGAGATTACCGAGGAAACGAATAGGCCAACAAGGCTCATCCTTGCAGGAGACTTTAATCGGCACCACCCTGCATGGAGCAACAAACCAGTCTATCATACCATGGCTAAGCAAGCCGAAGAACTGGTGAACTTCTTTCACTCTCATCAACTCCAATGGTGCCTGCCACGCGGTGTGGCGACCTTTTGGTCGCTGAACCAACCAGGGAAGAACTCCACCATAGACCTGACAGTGACGGATGATACTACAAGGCTCATAAAATGCCAGCTTTACCATGATAACTATGGCTCAGACCATCGAGGCACCTACTCTGAATGGAGCTTACACCCGCAGCGCAACACAGAACCGAAACTGAAGAGGGCCTATGACCGAGCCAACTGGGAGAAGATCGGCCGCGAGGTGCAGGAAATGATGGGCCCGCAATCTACGATTGCATCCACACCAGAACTAGACCATACGGTTGAGAGACTGATTAGCAGTACAAACGCAGCGATTGACCGACATACTCCGACCCAAAAACCATCTCCGTACTCCAAGCGATGGTTTAAACCCGAGCTAAAATCTCAGCAAGTGGAAGTCAATAAAGCCCGCCGAAGATGGCAGGAGAGCTGTGCAACACACGGACCTACCGACCCAGCAACCAAAGACCTTAAGGATGACATGCGACAGAAACGGAGAGACTGGACGAGGGTAATTGAGAAGGCGAAAACTAACCATTGGAAAGAGTTTCTGGATCAAGCAGGGGAAGGGCATATTTGGAAGGCAGCTACATATATGCGACCTCGAGACTCCTACACCTCCATCCCGACACTGAAGGCGGGGACAGAGGAATTCGCCCAGAATGAAGAGAAGGCAAAGATCCTGATGGAAACATTCTTCCCGAAAATGCCCGATCCAGTGGAGGGGGCAGCGCCGCCACCTGATCAGGAAATCCCCTGGGAGCCAATTACAGAGGTTGAAATATATAGGTCACTCAAAGCAGCAAAAGGTACCACCGCGCCCGGGGAAGATGGGCTCCCTACCCTGGTGTGGAAACGCTTGTGGATATACCTTTCCGACATAATCACCCACATATTCACCCGATCGGTGGAACTGGGGCACTACCCAGACCGATGGAGAAGAGCCAAGATTATAGTGCTGCGGAAACCAGGGAAGCCGGACTACTCAGCACCTGGTGCATACAGACCGATATCACTGCTTAACACATTGGGTAAACTCCTGGAAGCTGTCCTAGCCAGAAGATTATCATACTGGGCGGAGACCTTCAAGTTACTTCCTGACACGCAATTCGGGGGACGGCCAGGGCGGAACACTGAACAAGCACTGCTGGTACTGGCAAACGCAATTGACCGGGCGTGGCTAAGGTCAAAGGTGGTGACTCTGATCGCATTTGACCTGAAAGGCGCGTTCAACGGGGTCAACAAGGTAACCCTGGAAGCCCGCTTACGGGCCAAAGGGATCCCACGAGTTGCCAGGCGATGGATCCGCAGTTTCATGGAAGATCGAACTGCCAACATCACCTTTGATGATTACGAGTCCGCGGTCTCCCCATTGGAGAATGCAGGACTTGCCCAAGGCTCCCCACTATCACCAATTCTGTTCGCGTTCTTCAACTCAGAGCTAGTTGACCAACCGGTTGACTACCATGGCGGATCATCGGCGTACATCGATGACTACTTCCGGTGGCGAGTGGGCTTATCAGCAGAGGAGAATATCAAACAAATGCAAGACGAGGACATCCCGCGGATTGAAGGCTGGGCGCGGCGAACCGGCTCCTGCTTTGCCGCTGAGAAAACAGAGTTAATTCACCTCACGAGGAAGAAAACACAGCACGGGGTAGGGCAAATTTCTGTGAATGGCACGGTCATCCAACCTTCCAACACAGTCAAACTCTTGGGAGTGGTGTTCGACCAGGAGATGCGATGGAAAGAGCATGTACAAAAGGCGGTCCAACGAGCAACCAAAGTAAACCTTGCCCTCGGAGGACTAAGACATCTCCGACCAGAGCAAATGAGGCAAATCTACCAAGCCTGCGTGACTCCAGTGGTAGACTATGCGTCCACTGTCTGGCACAACCCGCTGGGCGACAAAACCCATCTCAAATTACTGAGAACAGTCCAACGGGCGGCGCTGATCCGCATACTCTCCGCATTCAAGACGGTCGCGACGCCGACACTCGAAGTAGAATCACATGTGCTACCAACTCATTTACGACTCAAACAACGGAACCAGCTAGTTATTGCCCGCCTCAGCACTCTCCCTTCAGAGCACCCCATTCACACCGTGATCGCCCGAGCAAACACTCGAAGCACGCATGTTAGACGCAGACCCCGGTGGCCTTTGGCAGAGACCATGCGGGCAATGAATCTGATGCGGCTTGCGGCTCTAGAAGTAATCAATCCAATACCACTAGCACCATGGCGAATACCACCGTTCACTGAGATCGATATCGAACCAGACCGCGAGAAAGCCAAAGAGAAAGCATCTGATTTGGAGGCATCCTCGGGGGTCACCGTGTACTCAGACGCATCGGGACAGGATAATCACCTTGGTGCCGCAGCAGTATCGCTCAATCAAGAACATGAGGTTGATCAATCCCGACAAGTTTGTGTGGGAAGTATGGAACACTGGTCGGTCTATGCTGCCGAGCTTATGGGAATATACTACGCCATCAGCCTTGTCTACAAGATTGCTCAGATGAACCAAAGCGCGCTACGCACAGATGCATACCCAGCCACAATACTCAGCGATAGCATGTCAGCGTTACAAGCCATCAGGAATCCCACATATAAGTCAGGACAGTGCATTATCCGTGCCATTTTACGTGCAGCTGAAGAACTAAAAGCAAGAGGGACCCCACTCCGACTCCAATGGATTCCTGGACACTGTGATGACCCGGGGAACGATGCAGCAGATTGCTTAGCCAAGGAAATAGTAGGCCCACACAAGAACCACCCATTTCGGCACCTTGTCTCGCGAGAAAAGGGGTACATCCGAAAACAAATCTTCGCACAATGGAAACAAGAATGGAAGTCGTCCAAGAAGGGCGGTCACGTTCGCCGACTTGATAGCTCTCTCCCTTCAATACGGACACGTCGACTTTACGGCTCGCTTCCGCGGAATCGGGCTTACCTCCTCACTCAACTACGCACTGGTCATTCGTGGCTAGCTACACATGGCAAGCTACATGGATTCCGGGAAGACGACAAATGTACTTGCGGAGGAAAGGAAACAGTGGTCCATGTCTTGGTGGATTGCCCAGAATTGAAGAATTTACGTCAAGAGCTACGCAAGAAGGTTGGAAGTAACTTTAACAGCATCTCATGTATGCTAGGTGGACAAGGACAAAAAGGTAAGGAAGGTGAGTTAGATCAATTTACCCAGGATAGTACAGTGAATGCTGTGCTGGACTTCGCAGAAGCATCTCAAAGGTTTCGAAGCCGCGCGCCAGATGGGCCGCGAAACACAGTTAGAGGCACTTAGGCCACCACAGGCCTTGACGAGGCACTAAATTCGTCGGGATGTAGTGGGATACTGTACATAGCGACTGATGGACTGTTGTATATAGTTGTGGTAGCCCGCATATCCTTCGGGAGGGGTCGGGGTAAATGAATTACACACACACACACACACACACACACACGATAGCTGCTTTCGCTGCCCCCTGCAATTTACCCAAGCCTTCTACCACTGGCCCGGAGAATGACAGGAAGAGCCGTGGATGGAATTCTTACGTTCACATCGCCGCGGAGTTGCAAAAAAGCCACGCGTGAGTCAATTCGCCCATGTCATGTAGTGGTGTCGTGTTTATGATAAGCAAACATAGGGAAACAGAAAGTTCGTGAGGCACTGACCTAAAGATTCGCAGCTCTAGCTGTTACGTGGATCACCGAAAAGATATCTTCTGGATGGCCTAGTATTCAAGTTACACTAGTAATGCACTTGTCAGATACATGTCCTGGAAGTAATTGACACATACCCGACAGTCTGTGATGGTCTTTTGCTAAGAATACCCAAACGCACGCTAGCATCACGCAAGTCAACGGACACAACATAATTTCATCGTAGAGTATGAATAAACAGCAAAATTCCAAGCATAAGATAACATTCTAACAACTGCTGAGGATATAAAGAGAGTCACATTCTTGGATCAAATTATTTCATGGGTAAAAGCACTTTTAGTAGAAACATCTTTCCCACCTAGAGATATTTTATTCTCGTGTTTGCTTAGCAGGATCGTTTGCAGCATCCATCAGTTTTTCTAGAATCTCTCGCAAACTAGGCTCTTTACAGAAACTAGGGCCCTGAGCTTTTGCTAGGTACTGAACCAGGTCGACAAGATCTGACGGGTTTGGTTCAGGTGCTGACTGTGCTGGGCTCTCGTTGTGTTTCGCCGAGTCTTTGTGCAGACCTTCGATATTAGAGCGCCCATCTGGTGCTGACTAGGTACGGAACTGACTTGAGCTGGTTGTAGGTCCAAATTTGCCCTGTCGAAGATCCTTGCTCTGCCTAGTGGTTGCGTCAGATCGCTGTTCAGCCACCTTGCGCCCTGCTCCTTTTTCTGAAAGGCGACTCCTGGTAAGTTGCGCTGGCGGACTAGTGCCTTGATTTTCGAACCACTCTTCAATGTCTTTGTCGGCATCATACTTGCAACCTCGAAGTCGCCGGTAGTCTGTTCGGGTCATTAAACAAAGACAAGAAAATGGACCTTCGTGTTCATTTTGGAGGAAGAAGTGACCGCGGACCCAAACTACCCCACCTCCAGTTGTGTAAAACACAGCACTTATTCGTATTTTTGTGGTTTCGAGGCCCTTCTCCCGTCGCTGCAAGATGTCCTTGATGTTTTCTGTTTCCCATTCACCGCGCTTGCTCACTCGGGCTTTTCCAACCGATATAACACACTTGGATTGGAGATAGCTGTTTATTGCATCCTGTCCAATCTTAGCGCCAGGGAGAAGTTCTCCCTGGAAAATGCCTTCTTCCGACATCGACATGACAGCAAAACGGTACCTGACAGGCCCCTTTTTGGGTTTTATAGCTTGGTAGCCGCAAATTTCTGCGCCGTCTCGTGTTGTCTTTCCGGGAATGTATTTGGCCTTGCCAGTATGTCCTGGCCCAGTCTGGATGCGATTAGGATCCTGTGAATTCATTTTTGATGCTTCTTTCTGCTCCTCAACTGGTACTGTTTCGTCTTTGCTCGGTTGTGCGTTGGCGGTGGATGATTCTCCTTCAACGCTAGCTTGCCGGGGAGCAGTTCGTGGGTCGAGATCCATCTTGTCATCAACTTGCATCTTCTTATTAGTGGTTTGTTCGTTGTTATCTTCCGGTTTTAGCGGGGATCCCTCGCTGAAAGAGTATCGATTATTGACCACCTTAGTGGTAGATGCGGACTTTGGCTCTGCATGTGTAACAGATCCTGAAACTGGGTTGAGTGATCCAGCCGATTGTTCTGTTTTCACTTCGCATTTGTAATTGAATGGGGATGACTCGCTGGCTTGCGGAGGCCACCTATGTGACCCTGTATTGTGGTCTTCTGGAATGCAGCCATCTACCGGCCTCCAGCCATTGGTTCGCTGCACCTTGCTTGGCTCATCGTCACTTTCCGGCACCAATGCAGGCCTCTTTCCGGTAAACCGCTGACTATCTGTTTGTTTGACGACGTCGTCGGTTGATGCAGACTCAGGTTGTGCATGCGCAAAAGAATCAGACGGTGGTTTGGATGATACATGTAAAGCCTCAAATTTTTTGTCAGACTCTCCCAGGGAACGCTTCCCGGGTGACTTTGTGGGCTTCTCTTCTACTGACCCACTATCTGATGCATCATCGGCTTTTTGGCGAGAGTCAAGCGCCTTACCAACCTCTGCGGACTGGGGCTGTGCTCTACTAATAAGTTTTGGTACACTCTGAGCACTTTTGAAATTTTGCGATGTCACCTTAGATCTTACTTCCTGCTCCTCGAATGTCCCCATTGCTTGTGTTGCCGGTTGTGTGTTACTTGTGGATGATTCTGAAGCCAAAACATTCTGGGAACTAGATCGCGGATCGTGGTCGAATTGCACTTGATCTTTCTTATATGGAGATTCCTTGGCCGCAGGAATTTCTTTCTTGGTTTGGCTGGACATTTCACAACATTGTGTAGACTCACCTTCTATGGGATCTGAAGCCGATGAGGACAATTCATGCGAAGACTGTGACTTCATTTTGGATCTGGTTTGGGGATGTTTTCCATGTGGCTCCTGGCGGATGACCCCTCCTTGTCTGGCAGACGATGCGTGCGTTGCATCTGTGGAAGTGTCGATCCTGTCGACAGTTGATGCGGACTCAGGCGGATTATTCGGGGATTTGGAAGGTGGCGTAGACGATTCACGCAGTGTTTCTGCTTCTGTTGCGGATCTAGTTTGCGGACGCCGTCCAGGAGTTTTTCGGGGCTCAGTAGATGATGGACCGTTGGTCTGCTGACCAGCGCCGGGTGATTGGGCTAAGCTATGAGAATGAGATGCCGAGTTGGATGGCCCACATGACGAATTTGCTCTTGTTACTGATCTGGTTTGGGGTCGATTTTCATGTGTTTCTTTGTGACTGCCTTGCACTGGTTCACTGGGCGATGAGTCCATGATAGTTTCCAATTAGCAGAAGATTAGAGTAGAGTTAAACAGATTTAATTTTTTTTGCTTTGAAAGATATCATGCGTGGTACTATATCTGGAATGTAGGGACAAACGAAAAAAAGTCAACTCAAAGGGCTCGGCGGTGAATGAAGAAATTCAAAAAATAATTGACAGGAATGAGCAAAGCTCTTAATTTATACCAATGGTGCGGATGACGAGACAGCAAATATGAGAATTCTTCTGAGCCTGATGCAGTGCTCAAATCGTAGCCGACAGCTTGCCATTCGTAGCACCGGAAAGCTGATCCTGAACCAACTTTAGTAGATAATAAAGATATATGCAATAATGGAGATGAACACGCACATATTGTAGAGAACTAATATCTTCTATTTGCTTAGATTGATTATGGATAGTGTATAAAAGGGAGGTTGGTGGCTGCAGTTCCTGTCAGGTTGCAGACTGGACAACACGTGTTCGAGACAGTCGACAGTACATCCTGGCCCTATCATCGGCATTCGCTATGCCCCGCGTGGGAATAATTGGGTTTATTGGGGTTCTCCTATGGGGTGTCCAACCAAAAGTAGGATTAAGGTAGCCCGATTCTAAAGCCCAATTGTGGTTCGGTGGTGATAATATCATCCCTAGCTGTGCCTTGCCGACGTTGTATGGAACTTCACTTGTGGCGAACCCAGAGCATTCTTCAAGCGCCTCCACTATTTTCCAAACTAGGCAGCTGCCATCTGCTGGTCCCACCAACCCTACAATTCAGCAAGACGAGGATTTTCTCACTGGCCACACTTGGACAAGTTTTATCACCATTACTATAAGAGGAGCCCAAGAATCTCCGATGTCGACCCCAACACAATCAATCTCTAACAGTGCACATTCTGGCCCTGTTACTGCCGCAGTGAGTCTACCAATACTGTCATACCTGCAATATACCAAAGATTATACCATTGATTGTATTCTAGCAGCCGACATATGGTCCAGACCAAAAACCATTGACGTCTCAATCTAGGACCCACCCGTCAACAAAATTCGCTGGTGCAAGTACTCTGACTCCTGCCCTACCCACAACGTTGAGACACCCAAACCCCAGTCAATCCGGTACCAAAGCTACCCTGACCGCTTCTTCCCACCTGCAGGACGCTTCATCAAACGCCATAGGCGACATAGTCACGCAGAGTTCCACCGACAACACCGCTAGGCTACTGGAGGTTCAGGTATTGCGATTCGCGAACTCTGATAGCAACACCGGCTCCATATTTAGACCCAGTTTTATCACAGCACAGCCCGGGGAGATAGTCAGATTCTACTTCCACGATTCCTATCTGCTTCGAATGGCCAGTCTGGATGATCCCTGCTCTAGTTCAACGAACAGCTTGAACGAACCGGGTAGATTAGACTCTATGGGAGTGTCATACCAGCTTCCTGTTCAGTCTCTCGATCCAATGTGGCTTCAAGTGAACTTAAATGATGCTTATTATACCTGCGATAATCGGACGGTCTTTGCCATCAATCCTGGAGACGATATGAATGACTTCATTTCTCATGCTGGGTCACCAAAATAGCCTGTTATCTGATTTCAGCCTTAGCCGGATTTTATATTGGGCCCACAATCAACCTCGAAGTTAGTCAAAAAAGCACTCAGCGCAGCCAAATCTGACTGGGAATTTTCCTACGTTCTTTCCGTTGATTTTGTCGTACGCGACGTAGATAGAAGAAATAATATAGCCAATCGTCAACTTGGTCACAAGCGAGTCTAATTATAGGGAACTTTTATATCTATTGCTTCCACTCTGTGGTAGCTTTTCTGCCAAATATAACCTCTGCTATATACACATGGCTGAAATCTGCCCGTTTTGCGATTACCAGACTAAATCTAACCAATGTCTATTTACAACTAATTGTGCTGTGTATGGATACTGCTAATTTCTTTCGATAAAAAAGACATCAAGGCTATAATATCTTCAATAAATAGAAACACATCCCAAATACCTCAGGGTAATCTCTTTCTAGAACTGAAAAACAGATAACAGTTACACTATATGCATCCATCTTCGCACGCTGAGGAGAATACTGCACTGCCTAAAATAACAGATTAGTGATGTGCACCCAAATCCACTTTCACATTTCTAGTTCTTACGCAATATTGTCAGGGCTGGCTTCCCAGGTAGTTAGTTAGAAGATTTTCTACAATAAATTGAATGTCTCAAATATGGGGTATTAGCTTGTGTGACGTGGTAGGAAACATTTGCCATTGCTCTGTCGTTTTTACCTTGTTTGCCGAGCATATATCGATGCGATTGCCCGCAGCCGTCAAACCCAACCCATCCATTGAATATTCATCAACCAACTACGGAATACCGCATAGCCGAGTGGCTCGTCCATTGCGACTATGGAGCTGCGCAGCCCGTAGTGCGCTACGATCGCCTCTTCGCCTCGCGCAGCATGTACAATGATCACGGGTTGGTCTCCCGTGATTGGCAAGCCCAAAGCAAGCAGACAGGCCTTGTTGGTCCATGAACCATCGCGGTGCGTTAGGAAATCCCCCAACATTGAGTCGTAGGCTATTATCGAGGCAAATGGACATGGTAATGGTTTCATCCAATGTCGGCACCAGGAAGCGCACGGGTAAACTATACCGCGAGCACTCCATACACACTGCCCCCGCGGTAGGATCCAGGCCTAAAGGGGTGTCGTTGAGAAGATATTCCATGCGACCTGTGTGCAACCGCCGAAGAGCATTGACAAACACTGACCCAGCCATACGGCATCGCACGGTACCCGTGCATCGATACGGCCCGGCCGGTCCGTCACGCATGGGAGCGCTATCCAATTCAAAGAACAGACTGCTTGACAGTAGCAGCAGGAGTGCTCGCTGCCCAATACCACCGATACCCTGATGCACGGCCTGTCGGGTCATCTCATCTACTGAATCAATCGCATCGATGGCGGGAATGGAGTTTGATAATGACACATTACAACGCAGCATTCGGTTTCGCGTTGATATGTCAAGTCCGTTGAGTAAGCGAGACCAGGCCGCGTCTGCATCCATTGATTGAAGACAGGTGTTAAACATTTTTCGCACGAAACCCTCCCGTTGGACTGGGAGCCCTTGGGACATTGCCTGTCTGGCCTGCGGCCCCTCGTTCACGGAAGTCCCGGTCCCGAGAGACAATAGGATACCCAGAGGAGGTTTCCATAGCCATATGTGATTGAGTTCCTGGAGGCACAGGTCAGCGGGGCAGTTATGGAGTAACCCACCGTCCCAACAGTTGCCCAGCGGTGGAAGGTGCATGGCGCGGAAAAACCTAGATGATCAGCTTCAACGCCTAACGATACAATGCTGTAGGGTGTGTGTGCCCACCATGGTGCAGCCGATGTTGCGCGAGCACTGGACTGGTTAGCGAGGCTGACTAACGGTAGGTATGCTCTCAGAAGCGCCGGGGCATCTGTGCGCTACGCAGATTCATGGGCTAACCTTTGCCAGATCAAGGGCTCATCACACAGTGCAGCGGCTTCAATTACTTGGTAATGACTCTCTGCGTATGCATCCCAGCGCTTCTTGTTAACACGAGCTCAACAGTTGCATCGAGGAATACACCGGAGAGATTGACATGAACATACCTGACGCCGGTGGCCGCCGGCGGGCGGCCCGATAATTCGTCACAAGAGCCGCGCTCTCAGTTGCAGCTGTCGTCACGGCTACCTTGGTGCCAAAACTACAGGACGAGACCTCAAACATGCGCTGGGTTGTTCCGTAATGCTGGCGCAACATGGATTCTAGTGCACCAACAGCATACATTCCCAGGCCTAACACTCCCCGGACTGCCCGGAGCGGCCAGGAGGGTACAACACGGACATGCTCCTGTTGTTGGGCGTGGAAGAATTCGACGAAAAAACGTAGGAACGCTGCATAACAGTCCGTTATCGATTGCTGCAACGGAAAGATATCCAGCACAGTTATTCCGCCTGCTACATCGTCAGCTTATGTGTGGCATGTAGGTCGAGCGCTTCAGGTCCTAGCGGGCTCTGGACAACATCGTGCGTTCCTACCTGCACTGGTTCCGAATGCCACGTCAATTAGATCAGGAAATGGACAGTCTGGTCCCAGTCGATCTTGCATCTCCTTCAGCAGCTGCAGGGGGATGATCCCGCGAATGCCTCCACCATCGACGGTGAGAGCCCGCACGGCGGCCGTTTTGGGAAGGAGGGAAATGGTGGTCAAACCAGGATGACGACACAGCGGGCATTTCTTCACAATATAGATGGATTCGCGACTTGCAACCGGGTGCCCCGTCCGCTCCACGCAGATGTCACAAAGTGCATGGCCGCAGCGCAGTGGAGACTGGGGTGCCCGGCCCAGGCAATAGAGACATGTCCGGTTCGTGTTAAGTCCCTCCCAGATTGGTTGCCAGCGGCCCAGTTGTTCCGCATGAACGTCCTGTGCGGAGCAGCCACATTGGATCATCTGCTCGTGGAATATTGCAAACAGAATTGCGATTTCTGTGCAACGTTTATCTGCAACGTCCGGGACTGTCGCGATCTGTTGTAATGCCTGGACACAGATATCTCGATGCATGCGGTGGAATAGCTTTACCGGAGCAAAATCTGTCCAATCATTAGCAAGCTGACTACAATATATTGAGAGCCCCAAGCACGGGTTCCTGTGTAGTACTGCAGCCTTACCATGCATGCCCAGAGGAAACGATTCCTCCAGTAGGGTGGATGCAATTATAGCATTTTGGATATCCAGCGGAACGGCTTTCGCTTGCGTTAAAAAGTGCGCCAGATGTTGAGTCCGATCTTCTGGTGCTGGCAGGTGTAATCCTTGTGGGTTTTGGTAGGCCGCTCCTATAACATCGAAAGGGGCTTGGATGGTTTGGCCAAGGTGCTGGATGCCCGCACCAAACAATGCCTCTAAGTGAGATGATGTGAACAGTGTGAATTCATCGCGGCGTGCTCGCTGTGAGAGGTCCAAACCTTTGAGCACTGCCTCTTTTAGACATCGGTGGCGAGCTTCCTCGGATAGATCCGTGGCTCCTGGTAGGTGAAGTAGATGAACCGAGGAGAAAGCTTCGGATACTTTAGGATCCCGCATCACGTCCTGCACAAAGGTGTCTTCATCCTGCAGGCCGTGGGCGATTCGCACCTCCGCTGTCTCCGTCACAACAAGGACCCGTGGGAAGACACGGACTGTTGCCACCGGCCCAGCCAGGGACAGACTCGCTAACATGGTTCGTACACCTTCCAGGCCGCCCAGGTCATCAGCAAAGAGACAGACCACATCGGCCCATGGAAAGACCAGTCGGGAAAGAAGCATGTCCATCACGGGCAAATCTAAGTCGGACGCCCAAGGTATCGGAATCCATTTCCGGTGTGGTTTTCCATACTCCTGACGCTCAGGAGGCAGCAATGGATTCCCATGGCCGAACAGAATGGGGTGGTGCGAGTACCGTGTACTATGGTCTACCTGCAGCTGGAAGCCAAGGGATCCTGGGGTGGGATGGTGAGCGAATAGATAACGCAATGCCCGGTTCTTCTTTTGACGGCCCAGGAAGCACGCGAACCGGGGATACTGTGTTGACGACCGCTGATTCGGGAGAAGAATTTCTGGGAAACGGTTCGGGTTATAGTCCAAAAAATACTGCCCGCTCCAATTCTGCACTACTCTGAAGCAGTCAGTATCCGGATTGGACCGCATGGCGGCACGATGATGCATGTAGTACACGTATAGGTGACCTTAGACTGCCTAGAGGTTTGCATGGTCAGTCGTGCGAGATATATATGGATCAATTCTAGCTGGCGCATTAATACTGATGGTATTCATCACCTCCTATGTAGCTCCTTTGTCTTGCCTGAGTCTGCTGCAAAGATTAGAACGAGTTCCATCACTCTTTCGATTTTGCTGAACTTGTCCTTGATATCATAGCGCGAATGCCCACATGGTTGCTAGGCCATCACTCTGATCACAGCATCGAAGCACGGTGAATGGCCTTGCGCTACCCCGGGAGGGAAACTAAGACAGAAAGGGAAACCATGCATCAGGCTGCTCACATAGCCTGGTCTTGATGTCGAAGAAGTACCATGAAAACCCTGGCCATTAAGGCACAGGATTCATAGCCGTGAATTTAGCAAAAGTAACGCTTTTCCAGCCGCGTTTATATTTTAGGTGTTGTCTGTCCAAGACTAGGCCTGTCCGCGGTGGTGGGCCCAGGAAAAGTAACTACTAGTTATTCTGCGTACTGTATCCTGTATCCGGTTTCTACACTTCCATTTGTGTTCTTGACGCCACTAGCAATTTTGCTTTTTAATTATTTTTAATGTACTGCTGCATGCACTTTTTATTATTTTCATAGATAGATCAACGCATTTCCAACTATTCTTCGTGACTGATAGGTACCATGCAAGGTAGGAATTTGATCATGAAGCAAACGGAGTGGCAGTCTACCAGTCAACAGCACATTCCAATACCATATTTCTTAATATTATAGGCATTAGAACCGAAGTCAAATTATTGGGATATGCCAATAAAACCCTTGGCGGGTATGAAGCGAAATGTTTCGCGATGCTACGGGAAAAGGCCGAACAAATAGATTTCTGTCACCTCTGCATCACCACTACATCAAAGTTAGCTCGCTCTTGCAGTCACCGGATGTGTGAGATTTGCTTGAATGATTTTGCAGGCTCCGAGTGTTTTGTATGTGGCTTGTGTTGGGAGGAGGACGACACTCATAGACCTGCCCGGGGAGGACAGCATAAAACAAGAATAGGAAAGCTAGAAAACATTCAACATAAGCAGACGTAGATTTACATCCAGTAGATGGCAACAGGGGTGATTGAGTGCTTGAATACGGGACTCCGATAGATCAAACCGCCATGCTTAGCTGAGGGGTCTTGAGATGAATATCTGGAACTAAAGGGCGTACAATCATATTCCTAGCCTTACAGTCATTCTCGAAATCGGTTTGACTCCCAAATATATGATGATTATTTTCCTGCCCCGCTGCCAAGACCTTAGCCCAGATGATTTATTGAGCCACCAGCCTTTAACTGGCCACCGTAATTTCTGGTTGTACAGGACATGGAATGTACAGGGATCCTGGTATTAACGATTGTTGAGATTAAAAATAACCAGTAAATTTAGTAAAACATTGAAGATCTGATCTTGTAGCTATCTACCCTACCGGACAGGTTAAGTATGCAGTCTCGTAGTCCTGTTTTTTATCTTAGCGTACGGTTCTCAGGATAATTAGGAAGTATACCATCCCGGCACCAGTCCAAAAATGACTCTGTTCAAATACTGTTTACTTAAAATAAAGGGGGGGGGATACCACGAACATTAAATATCCTGCAATGAGAAATACACTAATATTGCTCACCAACATTTTGACAAAGGGGATAAAGCTTGAACCCTTTAACCTTCCCTAGTATTCCGTTGACCTTTCGAACCAACATATCCAATTCTAATTCAAGAGGGCATATATTACCAGCGGCGCAATTGTGTCCCAAGTTGGCCTTTGCGCGAGAGATACGCAAGGCAATGGTCTCTGCAGAACAAATTCGAAATGGCTGTACAGAAGGCCAGAGCTCAGATTTCCTTAAAGCCGAAAAATATTCTGCTATGCGGTAGGCAGTGGTGCAATGTTTGACGTAGAGCTGACTGTTGCGGCAGGAATGACACTTTCCCGCTGAAATTGGGTAGGTTCTTCCACAGCGCACACAAACCTGTCCCTGCATTTCATAGCCCTGTCGGTTATCCCTCAAAGAGCCTTCAATGGACTGCAATTCATACGCTATTTCCTGCTGCAGTTTCTCAATGCGATCCGCTAAATCGCCTGTCTATGGTCAGACAATTAGATAATCGGTTTCAGGGAGATAGAAAGGGTCGTACCCCCAGTGGCATCAGGTAAGAGCTTTAAAATATCAATTTTCTGCCATTTGATGAAAAATTCAGGAGAAAGCTGGGTCTGAGCACTTGCAGATAGTTGGGAAAATTGGACCTCGTCGCGGAAGAGATGTGCAGCAAGTAAAAGATAACCATAGTCCTCATCGGTAGTAATGGGTTGACAGTCATGGAACCACTTGAAGATCCACGGTCGTAGAGCCTTAATGAGGTTATACTTGTCACAATGGACAGCCATAAGAGCAAGTCTCTTTGCATTCAATTGATCCTCCTCATTTCCCTGATAATGGAGAATCTCAAATATAATCTTCATGCAAACTGGATCATCATCATGAAGCGATAATGTAGGGCAGTGAGACTCTGTTATCTGCTTTCCCTCGCGAAAATTTGGACCCAATAATTTTGCAAGCACTGGGGATGCTAAGCTAAGAATCTTAGATGAAACAAGGAATTGTCGAATATTCTGGCCTTCAACGGATAAAATGAGGTTTCCATCCGGATCAAGCGACTCAAGGTCCTGCTGCTCATCAGGGGTTGTGTGGCCGTAATCTTGATCTGACATTCTGATCTTATAAATAATGTTCTGTCTAGAATTAGAGCATAATAGCTAGATGTATGAATCGATGCTAATGTTCAAGTGTGGACTGGCATATATATAATACAATCTGCCCGTCATGATTACGTCATGCTTAAGAAGAACCGCGGCTCGCTAATATAACCGCAGTGTTGTACTCAATAAATTTTTTTTTTTTATAGACAAAGGTAGTCATGCCTGTCAAATTTCATATACATATTCCCTGTCCCGTACCAAAAATTACGATGGTCCTCAGTTAAAGCTGGTGGCTCAATGAATCATTTAGACTAAGGTCTTGGCAGCGGGGCAGGAAAATAAATCATCATATATTTGTGGGTCAAACCGATTTCGAGAACGACTATATCTCGCCAGGTATATTAGACAAGTAATACTGTAGGTTCTCCTGTTGTGTCTAGCTTTCATAAGAGCATCAATCTATAATCGAGGTCGTAGTGAGATACAGGAGAGTCCGACAAGCTGCGGTGATATCGTGTTCTCATCAGTCTTTATTGCTTGCGTCAAGGTCATATTCCCTGACTCACTCTCTATATACTAGACAAAACAGACTAATTGATGATGGTACGGGGCAGAGGCCATCTTATTTTTGATATAAAGATAGTAAGATCGCAGAATCTAAAATAGAAGCTGATCGATATATCATAGCACCTTCATTGACATCTTGGCTCGAAAGAAACATTTTGCCTCAGAGGAACAACACGACAGACTGACTTTAGACTACATCATCAGGATACAGTATAAGGCGAGAAAGCCTCGGTCTTACCAGTGTTTCGCTAACCCTGAATCACTCCCAGTTGGTGGTTACAGTCCGCGACACGTGAATCTGGGGCGCACCTGCTCGAAGCTCATTGAGGTCATGAATTTGCGTCCTTCCTTGCCACCAGTGGCCTCGAATCCGGTCCAGCGCAGACTTGAAATCGTCCAGAATGATTGTATCACAGAGACATTTAAAGACAAAAGCAAGCTAGCGATCTGTCAGAACTGGGAATCCGGAGAGGTTTATAAACCACGGCTCACCTTCCAGAAAGGTTCAACACCAGTAGGGAGGCCGGGGCGCAAAGGCCTGATCACACTGTAGATGTCCACAATAGTAAAGACGATAGACAGACACATGGAGAGTAGCACGAGTCCAAATCGGGGACTGACGGTTATTAGCTCCCAGATTTGAAAGTTATAACCCCGCCTGATCTCGTAGATCAGAGAACACGTTGTGAAGATCCACCACGGATCGCTGCACATCCTGTATCAGCCGGCTCCGGGCCCATCCAAAATTTGTGGGGCCATTAGTCAATAGCAGACTTACCGAAACAACGGCTCCAGGGGCCGCGTTCGCAGGAAAAGGGAATCCTGGTTATGGAAATAGACAAAGTTTGCGTAGATCTCCAGCACCCAATACGGCTGGACCAGACAGACGGTGGCTAAGTAAAACCGGGACACCCATGGACGCAGAAAATGCCGGTTCTTCATCCACGCGATCACGTTGTGTAGGGTCCATGAGATGTTGAGGCCGATGGCAGTGAACGATAGGTACCAGCTATATGCTGGTGGGTGTAGGAAGATGAATGTACCGTGGCAAACGGCCAGGAGGAGCTCAACTGCAGTCAGCCAAGACGCTTTTCAGAGAATACTGCAAACTGGCAAGGTGCTATACCTCAACTACAATCAATTTATGAAGCAAGACATGTCTTTTCATGTTAGCCAGGGTGATAGCCAACATGATTATCAGGGCGCCAACCATGAACCCCTGCCCCCAGGCCTCAATCACCAGCCCGTCTGGGTCCGTTGGCCGCTTGGACCGTGGAACTGATGGCGAATGATGATGAACGAATTTTGAACTCATTGTGTCTGTCTCTGGTTTGTCCGTGTAGAGCTATTCGGCTGGTTTTATATCTACTTACCGATGGTCTATTAATATTTGCCTAAGTCCACCTGAAGTCGCTCATGCAAAAGTGACCCACAGCTGGTCGCCATAAACAGTCCGCTCATTCCGCAGTCATGAGCACAAATGGGATTCTCCCACAAGAGGGCATATTTTACAGCTCAGCTGCAATGCCGACTGGCTTCCATGGGACATCCCACTGGTCTTCTAGAACATAGATAGCTCTTCTATGCCATCCAAGTCGAGTGGTCTCAAGACGGAGCTGATTTCAATGGGCTTGGCTTTGCGGAGGTAAGGTTACGAAAACCAAAAGCAAGCTGAAGATTTGCCATCCGTTGTACAATGGTTGCAAAACAGGCTGATTAGCGTCAATCCTGCCATGGATAGTATACTCTGGTATATATAGCTACTAACTAGCATTCAGGCAACCTGGTGCTATGTGTATATAGGCCAGTATATCATTTGAGGTCCTTACTAGGTCTTCTACTTACTGTTATAAGTGTTCCGAATTTAGCTATTAGTTTGGTGCTTATGGCCGAGCTATCATGCAGAGGCAAGACGGACACCTAGTTCAAGCCCCAGACGCAATCACACTGGCTGGTTGTTAGGCCCATCCAAAGTCGTACATCCCCCAACCTTCTGAGTAATAGCCATGCACTCTTTGCTAACATAACATTGAAACAATACTGCAAGTCAATATGCGTTAAGCAAGATCACGGCCTTAATTATAGGTATATATTGTCTTTGAAGCATACAAATCATCACTACTGCAATAGGCATAGTATATTAGAATTCAAAAGCCAAAGACACAAATTCTTAAAGATGGATATAATCACGCAGACTAATCTATACTAGCACGACGTAATATCATATCCATGTCACCCCCGGACTAGGTTTCCTTACGTAGACGTTTTCCTTCGCCTAACAGCTCGCTCGACTCGGTCCGACTTTTCATCCCGTGGCTAGGAGGGCTTTCCCATTCAACTCTTCCCAGGCGTTGCAACACCTGAGGCATCGTCACAGGAAGTTTTGCGGGCTCAAGCCAAACTTTCAGCGGGATATTCACCAGAACCTTCAACGATTCCCCAGTCCCACACGTTCCACAGACGGAACACTCATCGCTAGCAACTATCTGAGCGGGAAGAAAGTTGAGGACATGGTGTGAGAGGGGAATGCGCGGACGAGATACTGTTGCACCTATAGTCGCGATGGATGATTCAGTGCTGGGCTGCGCACGATCACGATAGCTCTCGCAGGTGTTCCTTGCTGACATCAGGTTGAATGGGCCCTTTTCCTGTCTCGCATCGATTGAACTAGGATATTCTAATCCATTCGCATATGGCTGGCCTCTTAAGTAAGCTCTTGGAGCACCGAAATTGTACGTCTCTGTGAACTGCAAGTTGCACTACGTACCAATTCCATGTTCGTCAACTTGGGTATTTTGGCTAGTTTGACGGCCTTTAGTCCACCTGAGGCCATCTGCGCATAAGGACGGCCAAAACCTGCACGTTGGGTGCTCTCCTGCTTTCTGCGATTCTGATCGTCGGTGAATTCCCCTGGACCTGAGTTAGCGCCACTGCTAGGCAAACCTGCAAAGCTTGACAGAACTTACGGTCTGATGGGTGGCGTTGTTTGTTACACGTTTGAACAAGTCGAGAAGTCGGATCAAAGTTGGAGAGAGAACCATGGTCAGCATTTAATTGCAACTCCATGGTAACAGCAGGGCTGTCCTGAAAATCCGCTGAGTGATGTGGCTGGGGCGTCTCGGGCACAACAGCCGGGGATATCCTTTCTGGTCCACTGACATATGACCCCGCGGAGTCAGATTTTGTGGGAGTGTTCGGAACCGTGTCGCTGTCCGAGTCGTGACGGATTCTTGCTGTTTTTCCCGCCTGGGAGGCATCGGTGCGCTCCTGCAAGAAGTCGTCCTGTAGAGCAGATTTTATACAAGTCTCTGAGATTTGAAGGTGCCCAGTCGGGTACATACCATTTTCTTTGTCCGCTTCCATCGCGGTAGATGTACTGTTAATCAGAAGTAGGATCCCTTTTCGTGGAATTAGCCTTAGACGGCTTTTGCATGAATTCGATTTAAAAAGCTGGCCGAATGGAGAGCCTTTCCCTGTGGTCGAAAGATTGTTCTTATATCGTTCGCTCAAGCACATACGGTGGAAATTTTGGCTTTTTATAGTATTCCCAAAGAATGTAGCCAGCGTGGAAACCTTACGGTACAGAACACGGCCCGTCTTAGATGGGTTGCGGAATTGGGCAGCCGCTGCTAATAGTACCCCGGATCTACTCCTAGCCCATGAGTAAACGAATAGTATTCTATTTTCCTAGGAATAGACGCATCTGCAACTATGGAAGGGCAATACACATCTTCTCAAGGGTTTTCTACCTGTCACCACGGTTACCTTTCAAGGTGCCGTTTCACATACAGAGCCACAAGGGGCGGCGCCTTTAAAGCCTCTCAGCTCCGTCAATCACAGTGTTCTCGGGGACGTCCAGCTCGAATCGCGGGCTACGAGTTTCGTGCTCATACAGAGTACTGGTCGAGCAGCTTGTAGATCCCCTACTTGTTCCATGGCGCAATCGTGCTGCGCGACAGGCCATCTCGCGCTGTCCCAGCTGCCATGCTATAGCCTCAACATCCGAAATAGGCAATCCAACCATCGTGGCCAAGCGGCTCCACAGATTCTGCTTTAGTCTGTCGTGGTCCAGTCAGTCATTAGCTCTGCGAGGCAAGGACCAGGGACAACATGCTGCGTATACCAGTAGGCGATCTGGTCCTTTTGCGCTTCATTCCACTCCGGCCGAAGCTGAAGGCTTGCGTACCGCAAGGCACAGGCCGTCGCGCTCCAACCTTGTAGGGTCTTGCTAATACCTTTCCAGTTTTCTCCAGCCTGGCGCATGGCCACAATCGAAGCGTCTTCATCCAGAGTCCATCGGGTGGACTTGACTCCCCTCGGTAGCAAAGGATTCACCATGGCTGAGGCTGCGGTCACTGCCGTTTGAGTTCCAATCGATCTGGGTGGAGGCCTAGTGCTAATGACTTCAGGATCCCGATGGGGAACTGGGTCCTCGACGTGTGTACTGTTAGTAGAAACCTCTCCTGGGTCTTGAGAAGCCGCTGGTCTGGAGCAGCCGCCAGCAATGTTCAGCGGAGAAGGGCTTCTGTTTGACATGTATGCCATTCTAGATAGTAGTTCCATGGGTCAGAAAGGTTTTTGGCATGCACGTATTGGTCTTGAAAGTACTACGAATAGTGCAGCACAGAAAAGCCCTTTATATATGTGACCGCACCACACAGGGTAACCAAGTTAGAACAGCTTTTGGCCACTACCCAGCGCATTTTCTGTCGCGATGCAAAAATCACTTAAGGCGGTCCCCACTATCGCGCGTACACCGCCCCGCTTATTCTGCGCCTAGTAGTCTGCGACTCACACTAGCTCCCAGGTACAACGTGTAATACGCGAGTCCAGCTCTTCGGCGCTCCTTCAAGGTTGATATTTTAATATAGCACCCCCATCCTTCCCCGATCTCTCTAGCTTGTCAGGACGAGTATCTCAGCGGTGACGCTAAGCTCAGCTGGGGTCTGAGTGTTCTGTAATAATTCCAAAGCGTTCTTTCTCAAATGTAGATTGACAGTCTATTATTTGGTGCACTGTACAGCATTTTTCGGGGTAGGCCAACTCTGAAGATCTTAAAGCTTCGGATATAGATGAATCCAACTAGTTCAGCTAGGCCCTGTGGCGACTAGTCACGTGCCGTAATCCTTAGTGCACCTCACGTTATACGCTAGCACCGATTTACCTAGCGAAAGGATCTACCCCGTGAGGTACGCTAAACCCGACCGAGGAAAGCGTATTCCTTCTGGGCTCCCTATGCTCTACAGTGTATACACTTCCCGTTAAAACTAACTCTCGTTGCCCGTCATCTCTGCCAGCCAACAACGTGATTCCCTTCTGCCAAGTGTTGGATGCTCCCTGGGCGAGCAGTCCATGAGCTGATAAGAATTCCGTAAGCTCTAGTAAAGGCTGGAAAAAGCCTTCCTGTATAAAACATGTGCTGCTACACAGTGTGCCGTGGTAAAAGTGCAAATGCTGGCACGTATACTCTGTGTGTGCTACGGCAAGAACATTCGTGATGTCACAAGGATGCATGTTCTAAGCAAACTGGATTGAGCCATGACCAGAAAAAATGGTTCTGACCTAATGCACATGTCCCATAATAGTTATTATTGTTCTGGCACGGTGGGAAGTGTCACATGCTAATAATGGTTCAAGACAAACCAGCATGTACAGTGACAAGCAAACGTGTCTTGAAACAAGCGCCTTTGTCTTGTATCGAGAGGGCATGGCCGAGCACAGCAACAGCGTTATATAACCGAAAAGGCGGTTCATGGCATATTTCTTTGTCAGGGAACGTTTCCATATGTTAGAACACAACTTCCTGCGCTATAACACGCTCTTCTGTCCTGTGATAGACTTATGTCGTGGGACATGATAATTAGTTATCACACATTTCCCTGTCCCAGCCCGCTGTTACATACGGTTACATGACACATCCATCGTGCTAAAACAGTCTCTGATGTCATAGCATATTTGTATTGGTTATGCGCCGTGCCTTTATATTAGAAAGCACGGATTCCTGTCGTAGCACACTTCATATAATATCGTAGAACACTTCTCTATATCATAAACCATGCCTTTGGCCTGGAACAAAGTTTCGTCACGGTACCTTTTTCCACGTATATTATCATCCCGTCCGTAATCCTTATTATAGTCCATGCCAAGTCACCTTGCCCTGTACGACTAAATATCTACTCTAGTTGCCCTAACTTGGCCGTCCGGTCCGCAGATATTAACGTTGGGATATTCTTACTCTTTGATGCCTCTTGCACGTCCAACATTAGGTGTCACGCCGCAAGCATGACCTGGCGAGAAATTGATATGACACTAACCTAGGGGGGTAGTAGAATATAGTGAGATCAAACCAAATGAAGCTTCGGCCTGGATAATATGCACTGGCACTTGGCAAAGAATCAGGGATCATAGAGCAGCGTCTTGGTCATAGAGACAGAAGCTGCTAGTCGGTAGTAAATGCCGAACTTGGTATTCTTTACATCGGTTGTGTCGGCCGATTTCTTTTGATCATTTTGATCCGAGGTCCACGTCGAGTGGTGTTATCAGGTGAAAACGAGGTAGGATAGCTCTTCTGGGAAACCGGACGGATAGAGGTATGCTGGCTTTGGATAAAATCATCATGGTGGTAAGCTCCGGCGATAAAAAAAGAACGTCCATCTTCTGACCAGGGCATTGCCCCATCGTTCTCTGAGTTACCAAGAATCCTTTGTCAGATTAATAGGGAGAGAAATGCCAAGTCTCTATTCGGTATCCAGCTTACTCCCTTAGGGTCGCAATGAAATTGGATGCACACGATCTCCTTTTTGGACTGGCTGTATTTATTGGTTGGGGGATATCAACCTGAATGCTGTTTCCAGCCACAAATGGTTCTGAAAGACCTGCATTGCATGGACCGGGCGCAGCAACCTGGGCGCAGACTGCTCGCTGGCTGGCAAGGGGATATTTGCGGGGAACGGCGGAACATGCTCGTAAGCAGTGCCAGACCCAGCCAAAGGAGGTGGACGGTTTTGAGTGCTTCCGCAGCCGGGGTTTTCGTCTTGGGGAATACCACCACGTTAATGTGATCAGATAATTTAGTTCCGATTGTAGCCTAGAGACTATGTATTGCATACCTGTGGTGATGCTCATCTTAGCGTCATTGAGCTCTATAGAGCACTCTCGACCGACCGAAGTTCCTTTTCGCAGTCGTTGCTATCTGGCCAAGGAGAAAGCACCCTCCAAGGCCTACGAACGAATAAGATCAGGTCGTCTTCTGGAAGTTCAACCTGAGTCTCCCCAATCTTCAACCGCGACGGACCATCAAACTGAGGCCCGGCGAAAAGGATGAGAAAGGATGAGCATTGTCCAAGTTATTGGCGGGCCGCCTATCACCCGCGGAGTTGCCGTTGGAAAGAGACCCTCAAGGTTTTTGCTCAGGCGTATGCTAGCTAGATCCTCTCCGCGGCTGAGCGCGAGACTACTACCCCCGCTTAGCACAGATAGATGATCCTTCAGTCCCGCCGCAAGCTCGGGCATAGGGGGATTGACCAGCCTGAGCGACGGTAAGATTTTTTCATGACCTCGCGTCGTAAAATCAATCAATTCGTTATGGCAAGCTCCCTGGACATTTTCAGATTCGAAAAGTGCCGTGGTCGCCATCTTCACACGAAGCAGATGGCTTTTCACATCCCCTGAATGGAGAAGGGAACTGTAAAGGGAGTACGCACGTACCGTACTTTACACAGTATTTAAAATCCCAGGACGACTAGCCCCACCCATGGAGGAAAATTAGTGTTGGCTAAGAAAAGCGTCGTGGCACCTTTTTGTGTGTTCGCTTAGCAAGCAACACGTAACTCTATTTCCCAACTAGCCATGTAAGTCGCTAGAGTCCATTGGTTTTGCTTGTTGGAACTCCTATTCCTCCCGCGTTCATTACTGCCAAGCTGATACGCCCGATACCCGATCTGAACTAGGTTTACCATATGATTGAATTCGATGGATCTGGTTGGTAAGCAACTTTTATCCCGGTGAGATATGCTAGGCCAGATCAGGAGTAGTGAGCCCTGTGTGGCAGGCTAAGCTGATTCCCAGGAGTTGCCAAGATGGACGTGGTATTTGGGGAACGAACTACTGTGTTTAATTTGCATCTCGGAAAGCTTACCCCGCGAGGTACGCTAAATCGGATGAGGGGTAGTGTATGCTGGGTGGTATCTCAAGCTGTCCACAGCAGACTAGAATTGAGGAACAGTTCGAAGGCTAGCACAACCACATGCAGGCACATCTTTTCTCCCCGTTTGACTAAAACATCAAAGTACGGATGATCTTACTCTGCGTCTCAAGTCAATTTCTTTGGCCTCGTTGGGGCTATCTTCAAGATCTACACGTTGTATAATCCGCCGTCGACTAAAAGTTGCAAGAATGGTTGAATTAGAAAGAGGAAACGTCACATCCTACTCGCCTAGTCAACCACGTATGAGAACTATTGGCGATGAAAGAGATGGAACCGATTCTTGATTCAACATGTACAGCAAAGGCTTCCCAGTTCCCACAAAGCAATTCGCTCGCCACGGAAAACCATCCGACAACGGCGCATCATTAGGGGCGCACCACGACTAGAGACTAGACCATGAGCCCAAAGAGATTAAAAAAAGAGAAGCACCAATGCTGATATTTATGCTTGTTGGCCCTATATATTGAGCTTACTCCTCCCGAGGAACTATGCCCACAGGTGGATAAACGAGATCGACCCAGGTTTGAACACCTATTGATACCACCGAGCCTATATTACCGGATAAACACCCTCATAACTTATCACATCCCATGAACTTCAAAAAAGAGCTGGAGTAAATGGGCGATAATGACTAAATCGTTGCCGATTAGTGGGGGCAGTGAAGTGCGGTCTGCTGCTTGGTTCAATTTCCGTCTTGTCGGTGACGGATGACTGATAGTTCAGATTGACCAATGGCAATGGCGAAAGTCACTTTATAAAATTGAGAACCTTAACGTAGTAATCGGACAACGAACCGCCGGCGGTTTACCGCCGCCACCACCAAAACACGTGTATTGACAAAAAATTCATCAAAATTGAAGCTTTTCAACACCATACAAATGAAATATATACAGCTTCACTAGGTGTTTAATCTAGCTGGACATTTTAAACGATTATGACCTTCCTTACCGCAGTGACTGCAGCGCGGTGGCCGGTGTCCTGATTTTGCCTGTTGAGATACCTGATTCAGCTCCTCTTCTCTTTCTTGAGCCAATTTTTGAGCTTTATCTTGACCTTCTTGGCCTGTCAAGGTGTCTCCTTCTTGAAGAAACCGTCGTGAGGCTTTTTTATTTGGCCTACGCTCATCGGTTGTATGAAGCTGACATATCTCCTGTTGAAGTATAGCAGTATTTTGCATTGCCATTTCTGCACCTTTCATAACCTTTTTGAGAGTTGTCTGTAATAAAGGATGAGAGACCTTGATCTTTAAAGCTTTTAAGCTCTGCTTTTTGACGCTTAAGCTGGTAAATATTTATTGGCGTTTTCCTAAGATAGAAAGACTTTGAACTGGAAGATGCAGTGGACGATGGTGTTAGCGTTTTTGGCTTGATTTGAAGCTTTAAAAGCACTCTTTCTGGATTGTATGGAATAAGACCGGCTACTCTAAAGCTGCTGAGAATATTTGCTGTAGAGAAAGCTCTATGGCGTACACACTGATAATGATATAAAAAATTAACTTTATTAATGAATTTAACACCGTTCTGGATAGCGTCACTGATCTGCTGGCCATATAGCTGTTTTAATAGCGCAAAACAGCCTACATCTAGTGGTTGAAGCTTGTGAGATGAATGAGGAGGCATATAAAAAGGAATAAAGTAAAGATCATTCAAACGGCCAATAACGCTCATACTCAGCCTTTTCCTCGTCAGTCTCAGCCAATTGCGCCATTATCTCGTTCTTGACTTCGCGGAGCGCAGCTTTGCAATCAGCATATTGCTCGTGCTCGATGAAGCCTTTGTCTGGCCACAGATTGCCCATCCTCTCCTTGACCTCTGCAACAAGCTCGGTTCCTGCCACTGCACCATCGCTACCCATTTTAATACGCTCAAAATCTTCTTCCGAAAAGTCAAACGGGAATGGAATGTTGCTGTTCACGGCAGGCAAGTCCGCCCACGTATCCTTCAGATCGACCAGTAGCGATTGGAAATGCGTCTCGCCGTATTCGAACATTCGGTGGGCCAGGAAGATCAGGCCGTACGCGGCCGTCTTTCGGAATTCGACGACTCGATATAGGTCTGGGGTTTTGGCATGCATGAGTTTCCGCCATCCAATGAACACGTTTTGGATGGTATACTCGTGTACAGCCGCCGATCGTTCTTCCGGGGAAAGCCCAGAGAGTTTTGGCAGCGGCGCTAGATCCAGCGTCTCAGGCTCAAGACCACTCCAGTCGAGGAAGGCTGGGTCGGGATTGTGGTTGAAGAGGGGCGAGATATGGCAAGACTGCCAGTCGATGATGCCCGTAATCTTTTCGGGATTCTGCGGGTCCACGAAGACGTTGTCATCGTGCAGATCGTTGTGCCAGAGGCAGGGTCTAGTGATGGCAGTGTCCTTTGGGATAAGGGCATCGACGATTTGTCGGTACCATGCTAGAGCAGTAATTTTGTTTACCTTGTCTGGTCGGTAGAGTTTTGGTCCACAAAGTATGGCAATTTGTTTCGGGGGTTTTAAAGACTTGATTGCCTTCATTTCCCGCGTTTCGATTGCGTGCAGATACTGCGTTAGGGGACCCCCTATAAAATTATCAGTGGCTGCACACAGAAGATACGAACGACAACGTACACGGCCCTCTCTCGATATCCAAAATTGATCGGCCTGCATCAACCCAATCCCGGCCTGTAACCGGGCCAATAGCAAACTCCGAATCTCTGATGGCTTTGCCATCCTTGACGTAGTGGCTTTCAGCTGGTGGCTGCACGTCCCCTGCGTAGTACAGACTGCCATAATGCGAGAATGAAACGCCGAGCCATTGCTTCTGGAGACGTGTCATAGCAAGAAGCACTTGAAGTTTCTGGGGTAGTTTCAGGGTGTCCCAGACTTGGGACAGCGGAACACCTTCAATTTTATCCATAATGATAAATTCAGCACCAACAGGGTGCGATTTTGCCTGCGAGTTCCATGAGTATACGCAAGGCGCCGGTGTTTCCAGAACTTTTCTAGCCTCCAAAATCATTCATGTTAGCAAGTCCCAGTTATGGATGGAGTACAAGATAAACGTACGAAGTCCATAGTAGCGACTTCACTAGCCGTAGTAAAGTGTGGGATGCCAGCATTCGGGTTAGGCACCTTTGTTACGACTTCTCGGCCGTTGTCCATAGACATAAGGAATGCTTTGTTGAACATGCCGTCGGGGTACTTTTTGATAGAGATGCATCGAGAAGCGCCGACCGAGTCTGCTGCGACACGTGCAAGCCTGTTCATGTCAAATCTGACTTCTCGCTTTCGAAGATTCTCTTCCTCATCTACAACAAAGCGGCCACGCGTGAATTTGAAGAATTCATCGTTGGAATTCCAATCTGATACGGATTAGTAATATGTTAAATTGCGCTCAGATGAACGTGCTCACCTGTCTGAGAAGAGCCCATGCTGGCGGGACAGTGATTGTATGATAATGTTGGAGCTTCCGACATTGAACGGCAGTGTTGCTTTGAACTTGATATTATCTTTCGAGGATAGCACCAAAGACGCGCGGATGGGCGTCGGCACATATTCCAGGTAATGCCTAAGATAATCCCTACCTTCCAGAAAATCACGTAGCACTCGATCACAGGACCATCGGATTGTCGAGGAAATCCAGGAGCAAAAATAAGATCGATTCAGGGAAATGCTGCTTTGCTATGCAAACCGAGCCATGATGATGCAGGTGTTTTGGAGGAAGATTAAGTTCAGACAGTCGGGATACGCAGTAATCACGTGATCAGCTCGAGACGCCAGGGGATTTTGTGCGCATTTGATTGGTCAGCGACTTTTGGCCTCTGCCTCCTAGTCATAGCCTAGCTTTACGCAATGCCACATGCCAGACTCATCGTAATTTTAGGAAGGAGAAGGGCATATTCTCTCCCTCGATGCTTTACCGCCCCGAGGTAATTTCACTGTGGGTGCGGTCCATGGCAGGGAGCTAACATTGGACGTAGCCTCGCGGCTCTGGGGCTCTCTCTGGCAGGTATGGCTCGCAATAGAGTTTTTAAGCGTTCTAACTACTACATATTGGTAGTTAGCGCAGATATATATGCAAGGTAGTTACTCCGTACCTGACCGGCTAATCAGTGCTCGCATCTACCCGCGCAAAGACGTCTCAGCGCGTCATGCGGACCAATGGCATGACCAGCCTGTGAGGTTTTACTCCAGCCTTTCTAAGATTATGCTGATCTAGTGTTTCATGCCAAATTTGTGTTTCCGGTCATAAGATCCCCCAAAAAACAAAGCGATACGCCTTCTTGCCTCCCTGCAGTGCCACTGGCGCGTGGAGCCATGTTGCAATTTTAGACAGCTTACCGTCAGACTGATTGGCAGTCTGTAGCCGCCTCGAACGAGTTGTCTGCATCATTAAATCTGGTTGTACTGCCTA